CCAAGTGGCAGTTAATTAAAAAGGTTGCTTGGGTTTTGGCTGGAATTGAACCCAGGTCCCTCTCGAGTAGAATCCTACCTCTGAGCCACCAATGCAATGACGATTGGTGTTTGATTTTCTGTTATAACTGATGTAGTGAAAGGAGCATGTGAACACCTTCCCAAAATAACCACAGGAAGTGATTGAGTTACAGATATTTGTGCAGAAAATGTTTATGAAGAAGGTGGAATAATACCTACCTTATTTTTTATTTTTAGATGCCACTATACATGTATTATTGTCCGTTGTTATTCTTAAATTAATATTGTTAATGATGTTCAGAGACCTTATTATACTTCAGTGATTTTTATTTTTAGCTAAGAAAATTTTCGTTTAGTTAATCAACAACATGATTAATGTTGTTTAATAATTATTAATAAGATGAATATTCCCTATTTAGAGGATTTAAAAAAGTACTACGACTTATTTGCAACAATAACAACAGCAAGTATTCACTGAAAATGTTAAAATATTATAGCTCTTAAACTTAAATTTAGAATGAGCACGTCAAAACATTTCTGAAATAATCACAGTAAGGGAAGTGGAATACTGTTGTATATGTTTTTTTTTATTTTATGCTACCACTACCAGCTGCTGTATGTACATTAGGTATAATAGATTTAAATTAATAATTTAATGTAGTCTAATACTTTCAGAGATGTTATACTTATACTGTTTTTATTTTCAGCTACCAAAAGTTTTCTTTAGTTACATAAGTGGATATAGAGACAGTAGAGAAACATTAAATGAAGCAATTGTTTTATTAACATCTAAGGCACCACAAGTGCCACCTAGCAATCTTCTTTGGTCATACTGTGCCCCAATACTGCAAACATGGTAATAAGAACTGATGTGCGTTCTGAGTGGCTGCATCTGTACAACAGGTATAGATTTCTTGAAATTAGTACTTGAGAATTAAGTAGATGCTTAATGCTTTATGCCTTATTCATGACATTGCAATAAAACAAAAAAAGCATGGTCATAATATTGTATTAAAATTTCACAGAACACCATGTAAATGTTTCTGTATTGAGTACCAAGCACCGCAGTAATTTTAATGTATTAGGGGAGGCAGCGTAGGAATCACTGGTGCAGTCTAGAAAGAGGTTTTGGAAAGATGAGTGCAATAGGTGGTCAGGGATGGAACAGATTTGATGTCCGCATCTGTCTTCTGTGGTAGAAATAGCTGAATAAAAAGTTAAAAGTAAAGGTCTAGTGGCATTTAAGACATTTTAAGGATTTAAAATATAAGGATTTGTTCATCGTAAAAGCATAGCTGTTAAAATCTACTGTACATAATGCGTTTTTAAATAAATATACTGTAGTAAAGCATTGTGTAGAAAGGAATATTCTATTGTTTTACTGTGCAAGGTATAGGAATTCAAGTTTCTTCTCACCTAATCCTACTTTCTTTCTTGTGTAGGTGCTGACTTAAAGGAGAGGGCAAAAATGCATCCCAGTGAAGTTGGACCATTTGTTTCAAAAGCGAGAGCCTTAATGAATGAACTAGGTAAAGTATATTGCAAAAAATTTCAATTATACACTCGGAGATAATTTACAGCATATACCACTTTTGGGTAGCACTGGTAATCCTGCGTAGTGAGTGTTATAACTGTGAATTTAACAGTTAAACATCCATTTCGAGGTCATTTAGGTAAATGAGAAGAACAGGCAAGGAGGGTAAATAGTTTTCATGAATCCTATAGTTAAATGATCTTTATACCATCTCAAACTTTGTATTCATGGGTCCCACTATTTTAGATTAGGCATCAGCTATTTCTAACTAATACATATTATTACTTATTACTTGTTAATTTCCCTAACCTGCAAGTAATATATGTAGTACTGTACTTATTATCTTTACCAAACACCGATATACGACAAGCACATGTCAGATCTAGTTAAGCACTGAATTTCATCCAAGAAGTTCTTGGAGTTCTTTGCCTTTTCGCAGGGCTTCCTGAATTTTGCACTCAAAGGAAAGGGTATTAGTATGGTAAGTTTGCTAAGTTATATTTAAAAAATTGATCTGATTTATACATTGGTTTTAAAATAAGAATAAGGTAATAGTCTCTCATGAAGCCTCCTCAGAGCTGACCTTCTATTAGATAAGAAAATGAGCCTCTGTTACAGTCTGGTCAGTGGCAGCCTGTCAAGTGGCTCTACTAACAGTTTGAAGTGATTATGTATCTTTATTAATTTATACACTTCTGAGTACTCTGCTCTGTTAATGTGGTTTGTACAGCAAGAGAGATTAAAAAGGAAGTGTCTAAATAAAAACCTTTACAACAGCAAAATGAGATCCACTGCTTTTAAATTGATCTGGAATCTGCGTTATTCTCAGAAGCAGTCATTGGTAAAGGAACAAATGGTTTCTGAATATACTGACTTTGAAATAAAATCTTCTCCTTCCCATTTTAGGAAACCAATTCCTAATAGTGATAGGAGCTTGTTTGATTTTACTACAACTGTCCTCGAACTAAAACTTAGCTCAGTTGCATTTTTATAGACTTTATATTAATGCTTCCTGCTGGAACACACCTTTTAAAAGAACATTTAAAAAAAGGCAGTTTAAGTAATGGGTTTTCAAAGACAATAGTTGAGATTTCAAAATTATGTAATTGCTGATTATTTTCTCATGTTTCACTGGATTCATATCTTGATATATTTTCTTTCCTGAATAGATACAGCATATTTAGCCTTCCTTTAATCCCAAATAAATCTGGCAATTTATCCTTAAATAATATTTTCTGGTCAGGACTTTTTACAGCACAATCAAAAACATGAATAATTAATAAAAAAAGACATTTGGTGTCATGCTTAACCAAAACATAATTAAAAGAAAATAGTTAATTTGTCTCAATTTAAACCTGATGTGACATTTTTCTTTTACATTCTTATTCAATGTCAAAAATCTTTACAAATGTTAGATGTTAACTTTCATTATGGTTTTCTACTGTAGTGACGTATACCTACATCCTCCACCTCCACAACAACACTAATATTAGGAAGTAAAATTTTAAAGGAAGTGAATCAGATATGTGTAGCAGATACACAGTACTCAGAAAAGAATGCCTAG